GGTGTTTGGATACCAGAGACAGAAAATTCCCTATATATTTTGCCCTGTCCCAAAAATACAAATACATTGGAAATGAATTCATAACCATTGTTTTTTCATGTTGCTAAAATCTGCCTCTTAAAGTGACTGCCTTGGCACAAAAGATTTCTTGAGTCCCATCTCCAGATGCAATTTAACTAGTTTAAAAAGTTCTCATGAAAAGATCTCATAAGCATCCATTGCAATAAGGATTTCACCTGACAGAGTACATCAGACAGCCTGCAGTTTCCCTTTGGCACTAATGGTGAACCGGCAGCCACAACAGAAACATGAGCCAAGAGCTTTGATTGGAGTCACTTGGCAAATTTCTAAAACCATTAAGAGACTCTTAGTGAAGACACTTACTCCATATTTAAGTATGCCCTACTGCCCCAGCATGTGAATGTCAGTATCACCTTAACTGCTCATTAAACATGCCACTTTTTAAAATTACATTAAATACAAGCACAACCACACATCACCACACTTTCTCAGAACATTTCTAGTTCTCAGAATAAGGCTGGACTCCAAAGATTACTTAATGAACTGGGGGTTGGTAGGTTACTTCTGAAATAAATATGCATAACGTCACATTGCTAATATCTTTTGTCAGGATACCTACGTTTGTAAACACCCGATTCATAGTAGCTAGAAGGAATACATGCAGCTAGCCACCCCTGTCCTTAATATATTCTGGCAAAGACAACAATTAAAAGAGATTATGGTCTTACCTACATAAACCACTTTATCTAAGGCTGATCTGGAGTGGTAATACTTTGCCCCAGCTGGCTGTGTAGACAATTGATCAGCCTGAATTAGAGTTATCTAGCTGTTCATACTAACCTGCCCTGGTGTTTCATTGAATTTCAACTCTAGAATATTCCCCGACTTCTTCTAACACAGAGTAAAACCAAGTTTACCCTGTGTTATGGATCAAAAGTCCCTGAACATCTGTTGGATGTCCAGGAGCAATTTCTGGCCCTATGTGGTCAATAAAGCCAAATCAGGAATGATGAACAAAATAGAGGGCAGGGGGAGGAGATGCAGTATAATACAAAAACAACTGTTGGGACCCAGAAATAAGTAAGCTACAAAGTCCTGCTTCTACTACAAGCATCTCATTTCCTTCAGGATATCCTTAATTCAAGGTTTAGTTGCAGCATGTGTAGTTACTTTTTCCAAGCAGAACTGCTGCATCAGAAACAAAGATTATACTTGCTGAGAGATATATCTTACATAAGTTTCAACAAACAGGAACAATCTTTGATATCATTTTTCATTCCAGCGGTCATTGTTATTTGCCCTACACATGCATATGCTTTCGCACAGCAATTTAGGATGTCTCGAACCAAGAAAGTGCTTTTGCTTTAGTGGAAATTATGATGGCTGCAATTTGTGCCCTCTAGTTCTCTTCCAGTTATTTTACAGACACTATGCTTGGAATGGCTATTCATATTAGGACAGAAGCTGTCGACATGAATATTTATACATTAGAAACATAGCCTGGAAAAAAGCTTCTTTCAGATACATAACCAGATGGACCCTGAGATATTTTCTTCTATTTCCAGATGTTGTTATAAATTATGTGCTTTAAAATTGCTTTTCATTTTATTCCATCCCCCCTTTTTGCAGCTGCTGACATCTGGCATATAGTATACAATCAGGACTGAAAGTATCTACACCATTTTACAATCCAGACAATGTAGCTTTGCTGCATAGGATAAAAGGTAAGCTTTTGCTTTCATCTTGAAATGTTTGAAATGCAGAGTGGATTAAACAGTGCCATTTCATCCTATACATAATACACTGGGCTGTGGGTACCCTGCATCGCTGAAAGAAAAGGGAGAAAACAAAGTGAAACAAAACTGTAATCTGTCCAAGAGCAGCTGGATTGCGAGGCCTGCATCATAAATGCAAAATGCACACACATATAGATTTGCTTGTTTTGCCTAATTCACTCTTATCGAGCTAGTCATAGGAAGGAGTAAGAAAGGGCTGAGCATTAGAACTTCACCCCAAAGTCTTGAAATTTCTACCACCATCCATGTGATACTGTAAGTCTTCAGAGCCATAAAGGCCAGAAAGTTGTCCTTAAAATGACATCAATGAGAGCATCATTGGCTAAAGCCCTCAGCATGTTCTTTCCTGTTTGCAAAAGGCATGCAGCATGAATAAAACATGGCAGAATGTGACAACTGGAAATGGATGACACTTCTCTCATTTTCAGCCTTGCTCCAGTGCCCAATGAAGTCATCTTACATCGCTTACAAATAGCACCATATTCTGACAGGCCTGTGTCACTACATAATTTACTTGGGAGCTGTGGCAAGTTTTCATTCGTCGATTTTTAACTTGCAAGGGACAAATGAAAGAGGGACAAGAGTACTACTAACACTACCAATTATCTGCAGTGTCTATCACCCAGCGTCAAGCTAAGCTTAGCAGCATGAGATCGTGACTAAAATTGATTTATCCAAGAACTGTAACAGGCCTTTATAACCAAAGTATATGGATGTTGGAATGACATGGGCAGAACTACACACTCCATTATGATCACAGCCTCAACCCCTCCACATCCAAGCACTTGTATTGGGGTTTTAATCCACTATCGAGTCAACCTACCATGCTTTCCCAACCCCTTTCCAAAGCTAGCTCACTTTAAAAAAATAGAATGAGGGAGCCAGCACGAGGAAGAGGTAGGTAGAAAAGGGAGCAGCATAGTTCAAGAACAGAGTACCAATGGTTTAGGTCCAATCCCGTTTCCAAGTAGTCCCAAGAAAGAATTCTACCCAAAATCTTGATGCCATTTATTGTGAACCATAGTGAACAAAGCAGACCAAGTTGTTGTTGATGTTGAGAACTTCAAGTTGTTTCCAACCAGAGTTGAGCCTAAGCCTACCCAATCAGAGTTTTCTTGGCAAGATTTGTTCAGAAGTTGTCACCCTCAGTATAGTACAATTTTATACATTGCACTGAGAGAAAGAAAGTAAATTTTGCATATCTGCAGACCTTCTTTGATCTGCTACCATAGTTTTTTTACTGGTGATTACTGCAGAGCATTTGCAAACCACAGAGAGACCTACACATGGGCATTTGATTATGGATACAATATTGGGTTAGACAGGCCTTTTAGTACAGCATGGCTCTTATGATCTTTGATTTAAGCAAAACAACAGCTGTAGGGATGAAATAGTGATGATTGCAGTTTAAAATGGTCTTTCTCTTTCCCTTCACACTGAAGGAATTTGACTTATACATTTAAACTGTGGGTGGATCATAGCAATTTTTCATCCTGTGTAGCCCAGTAGCTCTTTGGGCCAAAATGCAATCTTGAATGTTAAGTGTAACTAGAACCTGGGATCAAGCATTGCATTTTCATTTTGTACAGTGTCCCTGCAGAACCATTAGTTTCAGCTGCCATCTCTTGGAGAGATTCTTGTGATTGTCACATCACATTCCACACCTCTTTCCTCCAGCACATAAAATCTGAGATACTATTATGATGAGGCCAAGCCAATAAATACGTTGCAGAATAATGGACCACATGACTGGTATAAATGTTCTTTTAGGACAGTAGAATGCACTGTTTGGATAAATGTCTGTACATCACAACACTCATATCATGAGGCTACATTTCTGATTAGAAAAAATTGCAGATAATTGTAAACTCTAGCAGAAACATATTATATAAAGTCACACTGGAAAGACCTAGGAAATACCTAGAGATGACACCTCTAGCCATCAATGGACTCTAGTCAACATCTTGCTGAAGCATGCTGTAGTCACATGAAAATGCCTAGAGAAGATTTTGTCAAATGAAACTGTGGTTACCAGTTTCATGGGTATGTAGATTGTCTCCTGGCTGTTGCTTACTACATCTGCCTGCCACCTCAGGAGGAGGAGGAAATCCTGCTGCTTCTCTCCCCGCCCCCCCTCCAAGCCAGCTAAGAGGAGAAAGGCAACTGAGCAGGAGACTTTTAAAACACCTGTCTCCTGGCTGTTGCTTATTGTTTTTTGTTGTGGTTTTATATTGTATTAAATGTTTTAATGTGCATTTTGATATTATGTGTAATGACTTGCTGCCTGTAAACTGCCTTGAGTTGCCGAAAGGCTGAGAAAGGCGGTATACAAATACAGTAAATAAAGAAATAATTGTACTGTATTTCTGAACACGCACAAAGACATTTGTATATGATGTTATTATATATTACCCATCTCATTTTTTTTATCTCGGTATTGTTTTCAAATCTTTTATGTGTCAAGCAATTTGCCAGAATTGCATATACAGTAATACTCAAGATGTTTTCTTCCTAGTAAGTTCATAATTTCCCAATAATTTATATTCTTTCTTCAAGTGTTCTCTGAACCATGACTGGAGGCATTCACAACAAGTTTATCTAGCATCTACTTCACATGGGAGGTGTCTTCAGGGGCTACAAAAACAACATTTGGGGTCATGAACAGTCTCCCGGTTACACTTTGTTCACCTATGATGTACTGCAATCAAGCTGATTATGTTGTTTCAGAATGGTGTAAAGAACTCAATCCTTGATTTAGAAGGCAAACCACCATGAAAATGAGTAATAAGGGGGGGGGGGGGAGTGGAATTCATTTTGGTTCACATTTTAAAGCAGATCAAATGTGCACTTTCTGGACTAATATGCACACTGGAACACAGTTTTTTTTCTGGACTTCTAATTATGTAATTCAGTTCTTGGCTCAGAGAATATTGTACACACACACACACACACACACACACAAATGAGAATTGTGTAGATACTGATGTAGATGCTAGTCCCAAAAATTAATACATATAAAACTAACATGGCTCAGAGGTAGATTGACAGGTCCATCCTCACTGAAAACTTGTTTGAAAAAGTTTTGATATTCATTTTAATAAGAAATAATTCTAAAAAGTGAGAGACCAAAAATTCCTCATTGGATATGGGAACTTTTGTTTCAGTGATTTCAAGTCTATATAATTTAATTTAAATTTGTCATTTTATTAAAAAGAAAATCTAATAACTTTTGTTGATGGTACAAGATATCTGTTTTTGCATACACTATATACCCATAAGACATGTGATAGAATCCAAATTTGACCAAGTCTTCTCAGATAGCCTGACTTAACACTTCAAACAAATGCAATTATGAAGATACCACTAATATTCCTTGCATTTTTTACATAAAAATAAGAAAAACACAAGTACTGTATGTTTTAATTTGTTCACCTTAAAAACAGTAATAATTTACTTTAAAAATGACTACAAAATAAAGCAATGGCAAATTTTCCATTTTGCTTCAACAGATATTCAATGCTCTTGACCATTTCCAAACTGAGATGCTTAGCTTCCTGACAATCCAAGGTTATTCCTGCCACATAACAGAGGTTTTGCCAGTCTTCCTCACTATTAACAATGGTTGATCTTTCAAATAAATATTCACACTATTTTTTGTTGCCAAACCTGTATGCAATTTAGATTTTTTTAAAATAGAGGTTGAAGAAAGCAAACTTTAATAATATAGAATTCACTCCAGAAAATATAAACAGGACATTTCAGTAATTCAAGGGCAGTTCTGATATCAAGTGTAAACAAGGCTATAGCGCATGGATAGAAAAACACATTATTTTTGAGATGATGCAATTTAGAGGATATTGTCTTGTGAAACTCCTACGCTGAACAGTTCTATTATTGTTTTGGCAGCATGTACATTTAGAATAAATGTATTGTTAAGGAGAAAGATATAAAACAAACAATAGGTGTCCCTTCAGAACATAACTAACATTTGAAATGAGATGCTCGTTTGCTTGATCTATGTGTTCAGTACTCTAATGTTCTCCATGTCTTTTAGCAGCACGGGTCTGTAGGTTTGAGCCAAGTTTTCCATGTATCTGAAATAATCACTCACTTGAAATCCATGAAGTGCTTCTTCCTGCACATTGTACAAAAGAGAAGTACTATTACTTAGGAATAAATGAGGTACATATCAATATATTCAGATACCTATATTTATTCCCTACGCTCACTGATAAACTGGTTTCCTGTTTCTACTTTAATGTGCCAATGCACTGATGTGAAAAACCACCATACAAATTTGATAAATTCTTTCTAATCAACAGAATCAGCAGAGATATCAAACATTGTTCTTAGAATTAACTGTATGCATCTTAAAGGCTTCTAAAGAGCATAAAATGTAGTACAATTCATGAAAGAATGGTTGAAAATTGCCTTTCTCATTGCAAAATATCATGCTCATTAGGGACAATGGGAATTATAGTCAAACGCATCTGGAGGGCACAAGGCATAGATAATTTTGAGTTCATCTGGAGAAGAAATACCTCCCCCAACTCCCAAATAAGTTTTATCTCAAAGGCAGCAATTAGACTATAGTGCAGATTTCATATCTCTTGATTGCAAATTCATTGCTTTGAGTTCATGATTGAATGCTATGTACTACTCCTCCGCCCCCCTGCCAAACTACCTACAATTGCATTATTGTAAATTATTATATGGCTTACATGCATAAGTTAACCTCATGTATAAGTCAAGGGAAGGTTTTGGGGAACAACATTATGGAATTTTATATAAGTGGTTAAGTTGAAGGTCATTCTGCAGAGAGGGGAGAGCACCAGTGCCAACTCTGAACAGCTGCTCCTGGACCACATCATTTTCCCAACCCAGGCTTCAAAGAGGCTAGAAGTGGCCGCAGGATGGAATAAGCTCCTGCTTTCACCACTCTACTCGGAGAAGAGGATGGTTCTTCTTTTTTAAGTAATAGTTAAGCAACAGTACTTACATTTGCCTGTGAATAAGTCAACCCATCTTTTTTGAATTGATATTTTGACAAAGATCCTATATACATGAGTATATAGAATATGCAGGAAAGATAGACAGAATCACTCTGAGACATGAGTTATCAGAGAGCACAAATACTGCAAAAGATGGTAGGAAACCCCCCTCCCCCCACCTCTTTCCACTTATATTAATTAAGCAGGAAAAAAGAGAGACGAAAGGCAGCCAGAAAAAAGTGAATAAAAAATCATCCAGGGATCTTTGAGGTGTTTATATGGATAGAAGATGTGAAGAAAAGTCTGCAATCCTTGCTCTGGTGAATGATGGTTTATTAAAATCAGTGGCATAAATAAGCAATTAATGGAAATATTAGCCTTAAAAAAAAGGCCACATCATTCAATATATTTTTTGTATTGTCGAAGGCTTTCATGGCCAGAATCAATGGTTTGTTGTGATCCTATATGTTTCATTCATATATATATATATATATATATCGGATTGTTGTGTGTTTTCCGGGCTGTATGGACATGTTATAATAATAATAAACCTTTATTTGTACCCCGCTACCATCTCCCGAAGGACTCGGTGCGGCTTACAAGAGGCTGAGCCCAAATACAACAATAAAAACAACAGCAACAATAGCAACACAATAACTCAAAAAACAAAGCAATAACATTAACAACACCCAATGACGCAATTAAAAACAATGGCTGGGCCAAATGTAATAATTAAAATTAAAAGTGCTGGGCATGACAAGGTGGGATGTTTGGAGGGGGATGGGCATGCAGATATCCTAGATCTCTGATAAAGTGCGTTCCATAAGTATTCTCTCCTGATGTTTCGCCTGCATCTATGACAGGCATCCATAGATGCAGGCAAAACATCAGGAGAGAATGTTTCTGGAACATGGCCATACAGCCCGGAAAACACACAAAAACCCAATATATTTTTATTTGCATATAGAGTCAGTTGCCATTGACCAACAAGACAGATCTATGTGTGGGAGCTTCATGAGAACAAATCAACATGTAATTATTCCTTTATATTACAAATCCTGTGCGGTTTCCATTAAACTGGCAGATGTGGCTTCAGATAGGATGCACAAACTCATTTGCAAACAGCTAGTGGTAGACTGGAGCCTCTCATAAAACTTCCATTTTAATGATGTACACTCTGCTTCCATGTCTTCAGCACTTCAGCAATGTGCTGCATACCACATATTATATTCCTAGGGCACAATCTACAACCAATTATTTCCATAGTAGGATGGTTAAAATTCAACCGGACTCAGATTATTGTGGATTTAAATTCCTATACTCTGTCAGTACATGCCTAAGTATTAAACTAGGATGTTCTCACAGATAATAAAATCAAAAACTTATCATTTTCTCAAATATTTTAACTTGTATGTAATATATAGTAAACTTTACTATTCCTTCTAAAAGTTATTCAGTAGTTTTAATGTTTTTTATTATTATTATTGACCTATCATCTGGGTTCTGTGCCTTAAGAATTTGTAATCCCAGTGGCTTGTCAGATGCTAACATAAATTTTATTAGGAGGAATAATAGATCTGATATGCTGTCACCTACTATATAATGAGAAATGTAGCTCTGCCATGCTATTTTGAAATTAATGTCAGAGGTTTTAATTTAATGGTATACTTGGGCACTCACATTAAAAGAGATAGCTGTTAGACAGACAATGGTTAATGGCATGTTTAAACAATTAACTTGATACTTCCTGCCAAAAAAAGTATAATCCTCACAACTACTGTGTTCATAACAATTCAGATTTGATTCTGAAATGATAGCTATCAATAGGACTTAACATGTTTAACAAGACTGAAGTCATCTCTATTTTAATTTATGCCTAATTTAGAATATTGATTTGTTCACTTCCATTAAAACAGGGATAGGAATTGTGAGATGTTGTAGATCTCCCACCTCTACTAAAAAAAATGAACTTCACAAATGAAAACGAATGCCAGAAAATAATAATAAAATGATTTGGGAAAAACATTCTGATCACCTAAAGCAGTGACCAGAATATGAGTGCTAATGACATCTCCACCTTCTTATTTTAAGGAAGTTTACTTCTATAACCAACATTTTATAATGCTAATAAACAATGGTCTTAGGAATGAAATTTGTCTTTGATTTTTCTGTGCTGTATTAACTATTAAACTATGCACCAGAAAGACCGAAGTTCATGTCAGAAGCTCAATGCATGATCTTTAACCAACTATATGAGCCTATACTTCCCCATTTACGATATTGAGATAACAATAACACTCCTATTTTACAGGACAATGGAATGAAATGCATAAAGGCAGGGATGGAGAGCTGGAATAGAGTGCACAGCCACCATCTAAAGCCCTCCACAGGTTGGAGGTATTAGAGGATGTGTGGCCATAGCCACAACACCCTAAATTTCCCAGATATGTCTAAGTTTTCCACCCAGTCCTTTGGTGAAGAATGAGACTTTCCTCCTTAGGCAAAAGCCATGAATTTCCTTTCTTACCCCTGTAGAGATACAAATGAAGTGCACTCTACTGGTGTATCCAGGTCACTCCCACTCCCTGTTCCACACGCAAGAAACTTGTGAAGACAAAAAAAGCACTGCCAGAAAGATAGGCATTATTAACCTATCTCTGGGAGGCACATTTCTTGAAATGCAATTCTAGAAAGAGCAATGAGAACAAGAGTGACTTGGTACAGATTGAAGCCCTTGTAACAGAGCAGACAGCATGCCATTCCTTGCATTTTGTCACAGGAACCATCTGCATATTTGATAATTCTGGCCTTCGAAGGAAGTGAAATGGATTGCAGATTTCAAACATGGGGTTTTCAAACAGCAGAGTGGAGGGAAGTATGTCACTTATGATGAAATAGCTTTTCAATCCTGGAATTTGATGGCTGAAATGTAGTGGATGATCTTCTTAGGAGAAGGGAAAATTGATCTACAGTATGCATTCTAAGATTCGCTATGGCTGTAGCTATGTGATGATAATAATGGATGGGCTATAATGACTACAGTGGAATTCTTTGAAACGTAATGGTTAGAAGGAATATGCTGCTCACATGAATCACTGCCAGGGAGCAGTTTCTTTTGAGATGATTTAAAGCAAAGCATTTTACATTGTGCCAAAGGGGCTAAAGTATGTGGTCTCATAATTCTCTGCCTAAAAACTGTCAGTTTTTTTACTTTCACAATGCAAGAAGTCTACCTTATTTTTTTTTATCTCTACCCATATTAATATTTTCCTCCCAGCCAGCAATGAGTGCCAAATTAGGAAAAATCAACGGGCTTAAAAATTAACATTTTAAAATTTGTTTTTTGTTGGTATCTCCAAAACGTTGGTTTTTTCCCTATTCCTTGTTTTTGAATTTTACTGTATTGTAAACTATTTAATTTGTAACCAATAAAAATTATTTAACAAAATGTTGGTCTTTAAATCTTTTGGTTTATTCTGGTATTTTATGTTCCAGAATCATGGAATCGTAGTAAAGGACAGTATTTCAAGGATCATCAAGCTCAACCCTATGCAACACAGGGAATCTGTCTAAAGTGCTCCTTACAAATTGCTACCTAAAGCAAGTATACAAACTGCAGAATTGTAGCAGTCTGATGCCACATTAACTGCTGTGGCTCAATGCTATAGAATCATGGCATTTTTAACTTTGTGAGAGATTTATCTTTCTTTGTCAGAGCTGTAGTGCCACAATAAACTACAAAGGCCAGGATTCCATGGGATGGAGCTAAGACAGTCTCATCCAACGTCTATAATTCTGCCATGTAGATGATCTTTAAGTCACAAGGATAAAGAAGAAATTACTTTGAGAAAAACTTGAAGGTCTTGAGTCTGTGTATGCTGAAGAATTTCTTGCTGTAGATGTTTGAACACAGATAGACACATATATATCTGATAATCTGGGCCAAGGAAAATACAAATGGCAATATAATGACAGATTTCACGCCAGTCCATATAATTCCAGAAGCATTGGGTTAGCCACTGTTGACAGATCTAAAACAAACAAACAAACGAACAAAAAGTTTCACTAAGTATTTAGACCGCAATACTACTATGTAATGTAATCACAGTTCAACTATGTATTCTATTAAATGGTTGAATAACAAATTATTAAGTGGTATATAAAAGTGAGAGAACTGAGAAGGCAGAGGACATGAAGAGGTAAAAATAGTAATCCAAAATTATTAATAATTTCATATTTCAGGAAAAGTAGTAAACTAAAACACAATCACCCAGTAAACAAGAAGAGAAAAAGTAGTGAAGTAAAACACACTATAGTCAAGTAGATAAGAAAAAAGGTGTGATCATTGCATAATCATCATCATTATTTAATAACTTATTAATCGCCCTCCATCCGAGAATGCTCTAGGCGATTTACAGCTAAATTATAAAAGATAAAATACATACATACAAAAATTAAAAATTCACAGAGATCGAATGCTCTAGTAAAAAGCCAGGTCTTAAGTGCGAGAGTAAAAGGCCCTAAGTCACGCATGGCTCTCATGTAGGGTGGCAAGGAATTCCACAAGGCAGGGGCAGAAATAGAAAAAGCCCTGTGTTTGGTGCTTTCCAAGTGCAGTCCTCTAGGACCCGGTATATGGAGCAAGTCATGTTGGGCTGGTCGTTGCGATCTCCGATGATGGGAGAAGGAGAGGCGGTCCCTAAGGTACAATGGACCCTGGCCGTAAAGAGTTTTAAAGGTCAGAACTAGCATCTTATACAGGCCACGGTACTCAGTTGGAAGCCAATGCAAACATTGCAGCACTGGTGTTATATGGCATTACATGGGCGTTCCTGTGAGTAACCTGGCTGCTGCATTCTGAACAATACGAAGCTTTCGGGTCGTAGACATCGGAAGGCCCACATACAGGGCGTTGCAATAGTCCAGCCTAGACGTGACCGTGGCATGGATGACAGTTGCCAGAGCCTCATCAGATAGGTAGGGTGCCAGTTGCCTCGCTTGTCGAGAACAGGTGGTTGCTTTTGCAGTAGCCAATCAATTAAGAAACTGCAGTGTTAACCATTCTGTTTACTCTGGTCAGTATTTCCAGGAAAACACTGCTTGAATTAAAGAAAACTTAAACCTGAAGGAACAAGCTGTGTTACATCACTTTTTCTCAACTGGTGCTTTGGTTCTTTGTGGCCTACAGAGACATAAGCATGTGCCCTCATCAGTACAAACTCCTCTTACTGACACTGACAAATGCTAAAATGGGCAGACAAATCATTATACAGACACAAAAATGTATAATTAGGATTTTAAAAAACAGATACTGTATATCTTTTCAGATTTCATTCAAGAAAAATCCCATACTCTTTTCATAAACCTGGCAACATATTGGTAAAAGAATGCCCTCCTAAAGTCTTGTGATAAAGGAAAGGGTACAATTAAAAAAATAATGAATTCAGTAGATAAAATCTGAAAATAAAGTTTTTATAAAAGTATCTTGTTAATTTGATATATTTGGTTTTGCTGAATTAACTCCATGATAATCCTAATTTGGAGAATGAGAAAGTGTTTTGGAAGTTATAAATTGATTATAGAATGTGTACTTTGAATTAATTAACAGACCCAAATCAGGAATTCTTGACATTCTCAGTACTGCAGTCCATGTATCTGCTACCCTTGGACGGTATACTTCAAAAATTTGCTCCTCACTGTCTTAAGGATCTTTTGGAAACATTATCCCTTTTACCACAACAATAAGGGAATGAATTCTTCATTTTGAGCTCTGGTTCTTACAATCAGAGAAGAAATTATATCATTTATAACTGTATGGTCACATATACAGGAATAAACCTCTATGAACTCAATGGGACACTTCTTCATAGTTGCATAATGGATTGCAATATTGTAGATGATATTGCTTTGGTAACAGTTAAACAATACAGTAATTTGTTTCATTGCTACAGCCAAGGAAACCATTTCAAGATTTCTAGGAATCGTTTTTTTAATATTACCTGTGATGAAGTAAAACCAGACATATGGAAAGCAGAAGACACAAGTGGCAACTCTGCCTTCAACAACATCTCAATGTAATGTGCACTGCAAAAATAGACTGGGTGGATGCCAGACATTGCAGTATCAAGAGGCAGGTGGATCTGATCAAAATATTCAGAGAACATGTCAGCTTTTGAAATAACACACTACTTTCTCCACAGCTTATTTCAGAGACAGGATGGCAGTGAAATGAATTTGCTACCTTATCACCTTGCTCACAAGTTTTGCATTTCCATTATTTTTCACACATTCATGACCACAACTATCTGTCCACTGGCACTTTACACAATACAAAACCTATATTCAACCCTCTGTTCAACCTCTCACTCCTCCCTATCCCAACAGTTTTTTTTCCAATATGGCTATAGAAAAACAATGCTTGCATAGTATTATTATCATCATCATTTTTAACAAAGCAAACAAACAGACAAAACACAAAGTTTGCAAGCTTGGTAGTTGATTAAATGTAATACAAATGTCTGGTTGCTCCTGACACGATAAATAAATAAATAAATAAATAAATCATCATCATCATCATCATCATCGAAGATGAGACATAGCCAATGTTCCCAATGCCTAACATATGACTATTGCATTTTGCAAGTGTTTTCTTGCTTCCTTGGCAACAAACAATATTTCCTAGCATATCTAGTTTTTATAATTATAGTCACTGGAGACAAAGTTGGAAGGAAATATATTACCTAAAGCCAATATGAGTAGTGGATGAATGGGGGTTCTTCAAATGTAATATGATGGTGTATAGGAACAGGAAAGGAGTTGTAATAAAATAGAGAAGAGAAATTTCATAGGGCTGGAGTGTTAACTAGTGTTATAATATATTTAGTGTGCCAATGAAACCATTGTATCTGCTCAACTCACGGTTGATAGTGGCATGAAAAGAGTTTGAGGAAAAGTTTTCTGAACACTCAGAAAACCTTGGATCAGGACCTTATTATTTCAGAGATGCTAGTGTATCAAAAAGTAGAAAAATTGCACTGGCCATGCTATGTTACATGTCATTTTCTATTAAATGGCAAGTTTAGGTTGGAACAGAGGATAGTAAACATTAATATATGAGAATTTCATTGACATTTATAATTTATGCTAAAGAAAAATACTTAACCAAACTAACCATTTAAAATGCTAAAACAAGACCGTGACCAGCACTGACAAACGAAACTGAATTGTTATTTTTATGTATAACGTTGATTTTTTGTAGCATTTAATGACTTTACCATAAACAAAAGCTAATAATGTAAGAAACAAGCTAGTACAAGGCAATAATAATAAAAAGGCCATTCAATAGTTCTCTCTGCCAACACACAGAATTTAACACTACTAATAAAATGTATTTTATTGCTCTCTTTTAAAATTCAATAACACTAACATGCTATCAGTCTACCTGTTTTCCCCTGCCACCATGCAACCATTGCAGCAGATGTCAAATCTATATATTTTGAGAGAAATTTTACATGGCAAACATTTAGAACAACTTTGAATGTTTTTTTTTCAAAGAAAACTTCTGAATTAATAAGGGCTCGTTTAAAATGTTCAAAGCAATTGTGTAAAGATGAAACCTCTTTTGAAGTCTTACAGAGCGATGCAGGCGAGGTATCCACAGGAATGCCGAAACGAGAAGATGGGAGAACTGGTGGAGAAATGTAAATGTTTTTTCCCTATCTCCCATCATTATTAGAAATATGGAAGAAGCAAACCAATCATAGTTTGCATATCCTCCTTCCAGACCACCTATGGAAATATGTTAAGGAATCTTAACATTATTTCACTAAGGACTAAAAACCTTGCAATTCCAAATCCTTATATTACATTGGCAGACCATCTGTAAAAAGGGGTTATCATATATACCAAGCCTGTTCAATCTGTGGCCCTCCAGGAGTTTGGACTTCTAATTCCCAGAAGCTTTAGTCAACTTATTCAATGGTCAGGAATTCTGGGAGCTGAAGTCCAAAGCACTTGGAAAGCCGCAGGTTGAAGAGGCCTGATATATACCATTATGTCAGTCAATCCTAGTATTTCTTTATAATGTCAAACAGAAATATGTATTTATGGATTTAGTTTCTAAACTACAAGGAATAAGAAAATTACTAAAATGGATAAGAACTCTTTTGAATATATGTGGCTATATAATAAAGAACATTGAAGGAATTACCTGCACATGTAGCAAAAGAGTAAGTTTTATTTAACATGCTATATTAATATTCATAACAGCATAGAAACAATAGATTTAATTATCATATTGAGTAAAACATGATAAAAACTAAACCAGGATTAGAAAAGGATACGTAACGATGTCTGTATAAACACATGTTGTTGTTGTTTCAAATATTTCTCACAACTCATTAGAACTTGGCAAAGATCATTTTCAGCATTCTCCCCTAGGAGGTTCAAATGTTTACCATAACTAAAAGAAAAATAAAATAACACAAGCTTCAACTAGAACCAAAACACATTTTTGCTTATTAATTTTTAACCTAGCAGAAGAGCTCAATTATTAATGTGAGTAATTTAGACCCCAGTGGAAGAAGTATTTTCTAATGAAGCAGTGAATGGTATTAGAATGAGAATATATATTCATTAAGGGTCCACCTACACTAGTGATTCCCAGCCTTTGGTCCTCCAGGTATTTTAGACTTCACCTCCCACAATTCCTAACAACTGGTAATTTCTGGGAGTTGAAGTTCAAAATTACATCTCACATGATTCCACAGCATAGAGAAGTGGTTCTCAACCTGTGGGGTCCCCAGGTGTTTTGGCCTACAACTCCCAGAAACCCCAGCTAGAGCCACAACAGTTAAAAGTGGCTCAGACTGCATTAATCCTACAATGCATATGGACTCTTAAAAATATATGAGCACTACTTCTTTCTGATTTGGCAAGAATTTTCAGGCCAATAAATGCTTTAGATCATATCCTGCTTGTCCAGGAAACTGTTACAATAGCTCAATATTTTATGTGTGTGCAAACTCCCAATAATATCACATTACAAATGCTTTTCAGTACCCTTAAATAATTTGTTAAAAGCAACTAGGTTCATGGGATTAGTTTCAGGGTTCTTGTAAACTTGTCTTATGTTCATATTTGATTCAAAGTTTTCCACGGAAAAGTTTTTATATTTTTCCAGGTATGCTACTATTGTATAGTAGTACTATTGTACTACTGTATTTATATCATGTGGCACTGCTTTCAAAAACTGCACTCCAACATTCTAATTGATAGGCTAACCATAAAGAACCATACTATTTTCTGTGAGTCACAAAAGATTTAAAGACTCAGATCATTTCACTGTCTTGATAAAGTTATTCTTTCTCCATTATAGAGGATACAGTAATCTACTAGGTTCAATCTACAGTTTGAATATTAATCTCATACTAAGAAATGTTGTAATCTCAAATTTTCCAATTTTTGAGAGGAATCCATCAATAGCATATGAATACAAAGGTGCAAATGTAAAAAAAAAGATACTGAGTTCACACAAGACTGCACATTCCTCTCTACAGCTAGAGTCTGATTAAAACATCAACAAGCAAAGCTTAAAGCATGACAAAAACACCCAAATTGTTTCTTTCTTCTTCTTTTTTTAACCCTGGCACTTTCTTGAACTATCTCTTTGCATGGATAAATGAACAGATTCAGCATGCCTCCCTCATTTACTTCAATTATGCACATGATCATTCTAGAAGGAAGAATATAAAAATGGAATGGAAATGTGGCATAGCGAACACTACTGTAATGCATTTCCCAATGTAAACTGTTAAAACAATTTCATTGTTCTGACATTATCACATGCTCCAATCTGCTTTCTCTCAGGATAATGCATTAAACTAAATTAACATAAAAGAAAATAAACAATGAGTCTCACCATGAAGAGATAAAACTATTGATAAAAACAATATATATTATTTGGATTTTATGCTATGCACGAGTCAAAGAAAATGAGAAAATATAAACGACCAGGTTTCAGATATCTGTCTCTTCTACAAAACACTATAGCAGCAACAATAGGGAAACAGAGCACACAACAGACATAAATTCCACTCCCTTATTCGTAGCCTAAGATTGAAAAGCACAATATACTGAATTAATGTATTAACTTAATCGAAGTCTTTCAAGGAAATATAAACAAAATGTAAACATAAGACAAGTGAAACAAGATCTACTGATAGTTTCACTAAAAGAATGGTCATGTTAAAGAATGAAGATGATTTCTCAGCTTCAATATGATTCATATGGACTTATAAAAACATCAGCTACAGCATCATTTTAATGCATATATACATTTCATTACTTCATTATTCATACTAGAACACACTAAGACAAAATAACACATCCCATGAATATTTTAAAGAGTGAAGAGACCATTTTAAAGAATGATAACTCTTTAAAAGACAGCCCTTTCTATGAAAAATAACTTGCGGGAATAAACTGGCTTAAATAGACTGGCTGAAGACACCTGATCTCGATTAAGTAGTGTCAGCCCTAGCTAGTACATGCAGTCCCCGAGTTAAAAACATCTGACTTAAAAAGGACTCATAGTTACAAACGGGGCTGAGACAACAAGGAGTTAATCTATCCCTCAGAAGGGAAATTCACTCCTGAAAGAGTTATCATGGGGAAAGGGGTATCTCCACTGAAGCTTTATCACCAGTCCTTGTTTCCACAACAAAGCCTGAATATTCCTGAATGTTCAAGTTGCTATATTCATTCAAGGAATACTAAGAGTAATTTTTCTGAACTGCAAGTTACAGAGCAGCAACAAAATAACAATTGTCCCTCCTCACAAAAATAGATTTAATGTTATTATTTTAATGCTAGGCTGAGACATTTAATATTATATTGAAATCATGGAAAACTAAACATTTTATAAATATTCAAGAGAAGGATTTTGAATCAGCGTACCTGATTGTCATTTTAATGCCAAGCTGCTGTATAGATGTGAGATTTGTTTCCACATTTGCATAATCTGAAAACCAAAAAATATATACATATATGTATAAAACTGATAAATATTTAAATAAAAATCAAATAAACTTTTTATCACCAGACATATAACAAAATGACAAATGTTTGGAAACAATCTGTAATGGAAAAGAATGAAATCTGGTTTATACAGTGATAAGCCTGTATTTGTAACACGTGGCACTGCCTTCAAAAACTGCACTCCAACACTCTAATTGATAGGCTAACCTTAAAGAATCATTAACTCATAGTTTAGCTCTCCCCATGTGACTTAATAAAACCTTATGGCTCATTTCCTGCACTGTATGACAAATATAATATTGACTACAGGATTTAAAACATTTATCTTTGAGGAAGACAGAAGTCAGTAGAGAACGCTTTTCTTCTTCCACTCGACTTCACCTTTTTTCCAGCATAGCAGCCTAATTTACTATAATCTACAGGTGATTATTAAGAGCGAACCATCTTAAAAATTAAGAGACCCATCTTAAAAATTATTAATTTTGTTTAATTCATGTTCCACATTATTCCTGACATGAAGTCCAAAAGATATATGCTATTAAAACACCACTAGTTTAAAACAGTATGAAAACATTTAATTAACATAATAGGAATAAGGGCACAGCAAACACCCCTTTACAAGACAAGTTTGCACAACCAGTTCAATGTCCAAAGCCTGCTCTAATGAAAAGATCTTTACTGGCAGAAAGAATGCAGAAACACTAGCCAAGTGTCCTATGAAAGAGACTTCCACTGCCTGGGAGCAGCCATTAAGGACACCCTTCCATGGGTTTTCCCAACTTATGGGATCAAAAGAAAGTCCTCCCCTGAGGATCTCAACACCTAGTCATAATCAAGCAGGGAGATATGGCTTTTCAAACATATGATTTGTCTGAAGTATATCACCATTATTAATGCTTTAAAAGGGTGGGGTGGGTTTTGTTTGTACCTTAATGCATCTATTTGCAATATAAAGAAACATTGCCATTAAAATTTTCACCATTCTCGTCATTTTCTTAATAATCAGTCTTAAGGTAATAAACACTGTGTATACTTTTTGAATTCCTTTTTGCCCATATTTCTCCCACAAATAATAATAGTAAAAGTGGTAGTAGTAATAATAATAATAATTTCATTTCTTACCCACCTCTCCTGTGGCTTGAGGTGGGGCACAACATAGTGAAACACTTCATAAAACATCATAAAAATGCTACATACATGACTGGTGAGATGCACCCTTAAAATACTACATAAAAGACTATACAAATTTGCTCTTGCACAGCTAAAAAGCAGAAGGCATTGTGCCACAAAGTTGGCTCATAATTTCACCTTCAGTCATATTTGCTTGTGCAAAAAACAGGATTGAAATACAAGACTGCTTCCTGTGAAATGGATCACTCTCTGCAGCAGAAAATTTCCATTGTTGACATCGGCGACCTCTGAATGCCCCAACAGATGAATCTGTATTTGTGTGTGTGTTTTCTTTACAAATATATTACAATGTATTCCTATGAAATATATATTAAAATAGAACAAAGTTAAATAGTGAACAAATAGTTAAAATTTGACTGGTAGGCCTGCTGGAAGAGACGGGTCTTCAATTATCTTAAATTCTGACAGCTCATTAAGCTGTTGGAGCTCTTCTGGCAGGTCATCCCAAAGTCTTGGGGCAGCCGATGAAAACTGCTTTGTTTGAGAGGAGGGGCTTCCTGAGTTTAAAAATTAACTGCTTTGTTTGAGAGGAGGGGCTTCCTGAGTTTAAAAATTAACTGCTTTGTTTGAGAGGAGGGGCCTTACTGCAACATTCATGGCACATTTAAGGTTTCTCCCCAGTATGAGTCCTTTGATGTTTCTGTAAGTTTGAACTACGAGTAAAGCTCTGTCCACACTCCAGGCATTTATAGGGCTTCTCTCCAGTGTGAGTCCGCTGATGAGAACGTAGAACTTTACTATAATTAAAGCTTTTTCCACACTCCAGGCATTTATAGGGCTTCTCTCCAGTGTGAGTCCTTTGATGTGAACATAGACTTGTATTATTAGTGAAGCTCCGTTCACAGTCCCAGCATTTATAGGGCTTCTCTCCAGTGTGAGTCCTTTGATGGGAACGCAGACTTGAACTATTAGTGAAGCTTCGTTCACAGTCCCAGCATTTATAGGGCTTCTCTCCAGTGTGAGTCCTTTGATGGGAACGTAAACTTGCACTGTGATTGAAGCTCTGTCCACACTCCAGGCATTTATAAGTTTTTCCCCCAGCGTGAGTCCTTTGATGTGAACGTAGACTTCCACTCTCAGTGAAGCTCTGTCCACACTGTAGGCATTCATAGGGTTTCTCCCCAGTGTGAGTCCTTTGATGTGAACGTAAACGTGTACTGTGAGTGAAGCTCTTTCCACACTCCAGGCATTTATAAGGTTTCTCCCCAGTGTGAGTGCTTTGATGTGAACGCAAAAGTCCTCTCTTAGTGAAGCTCTGTCCACACTCCAGGCATCTATAAGGATTCTCCCCAGTGTGAGTGCTTTGATGTGAACGTAAATGTCCACTGTTAGTGAAGCCCTGCCCACACTCCAGGCATCTATAAGGTTTCTCCCCAGTGTGAGTGTTTTGATGTGCATGTAGACCTCCACTCTGACTGAAGCTCTGCCCACATTCAAAGCATGTATAGGGTTTCTCCCCAGTGTGAGTCCTGTGATGTGAATGTAGATACCCGCTCCTAGTGAAGCTCTGCCCACACTCCAGGCATTTATAGGGTTTCTCCCCAGTGTGAATCCTCTGATGTGAACGTAGATTTGAACTATGATTGAAGCTCTGCCCACACTCCAGGCATTTATGTGGTTTCTCTCCAGTGTGAATCCTCTGATGTGAACGTAGACTTCCATTCTGAGAGAAGCTCTGTCCACATTCCAGGCATTTATGGGGTTTCTCCCCAGTGTGAGTCCTTTCATGTTGCTGCAGATGATCCCTCCGAGCAAAGCTCTTTCCACACTCCAGGCATGTATAGGGCTTCTCCCCAGTGTGAGTCCTTTCATGTTTTTGCAAATGATCCCTCCGGGCGAAGCTCTTTCCGCAGTCCAGGCAAGAATAGGATTTCTTCCCAGTGTGAGTCTTTTCATGTCGCTCCAGGTGATGACTCTGAGCAAAACTGTTTCCACACTCCAGGCATGTATATGTTTTCTCCTTCATGTCAACAGGGATATCAGTAAATTGAAATACAGATACTTGATTCTTCTTTTTTCCTTTCTTATCTGTAAGTAAGATAAAAGAAAATCATCAAGATGGATGGATGGATGGGAGTTTCTCAAGAGTAAAATACTCAAGGCGCAATTGCAAACAGTGCCAACAAAAGAGGAAAAATAGGACAACTGCAAAGAAGCCAGAATGGATGTCCAAAGAACTTCTAACTGGGCTAGACACAAAGGAAACATGCAAAAGAAGTGGAAAAAGAGAGAAATCACCAAAGAAGAATTCAAACAAATAGCCAACTCCTGTAGGGAAAAGATCCGCAAGGCTAAAGCAAAAAACGAGCTCAGGCTTGCCGGGGACATTTAAAACAATAAAAAGGGCTTCTATTCTTATGTCAGTAGAAAAAGGAAAAACAAGGAGGCGATAGGACCTCTTCGCGGAGAAGATGGGGCAATGCTGACAGGGGATAGGGAAAAGGCAGAACTACTTAATGCCTTCTTTGCCTCGGTCTTCTCACAAAAAGAGAGTCTTCAACCTCAGCAAGATGGAGTGGATGAGGGATTGGAGGACATCCAACCCCAAATTGGGAAAGAAATCGTCCAGGAATACCTGGCCGCTCTTAATGAGTTCAAGTCCCTTTTCAGGGCCAGATCAACTACACCCCAGAGTATTAAAGGAACTAGCGGAAGTCATTTCGGAACCATTGGCAACCATCTTTGAGAGTTCTTGGAGAACGGGAGAAGTTCCAGCAGATTGGAGGAGGGCCAATGTGGTCCCAATCTTCAAGAAGGGAAAAAAGGATGACCCAAACAACTACCGTCCGGTCAGCCTCACGTCGATAACGGGCAAGATTCTGGAAAAGATTGTTAAGGAAGCGGTCTGCAAACACTTAGAAACAAATGCAGTCATCGCTAATAGTCAACATGGATTTATCAAAAACAAGTCATGCCAGACTAATCTGATCTCTTTTCGATAGAGCTACAAGCTGGGTAGATGCGGGAATGCCGTGGATGTAGCGTACCTGGATTTCAGTAAGGCCTTCGACAAGGTCCCCCATGACCTTCTGGCAAGAAACTAGTCCAATGTGGGCTAGGCAAAACTACGGTGAGGTGGATCTGTAATTGGTTAAGTGGACGAACACAGAGAGTGCTCACTAATGCTTCTGCTTCATCTTGGAAAGAAGTGACAAGTGGAGTGCCGCAGGGTTCCGTCCTGGGCCCGGTCCTGTTCAACATCTTTATTAATGACTTAGATGAAGGGCTAGAAGGCATGATCATCAAGTTTGCAGACGACACCAAATGGGGAGGGATAGCCAATAGTCCAGAGGACAGGAGCAGAATTCAAAACGATCTTGACAGATTAGAGAGATGGGCCAAAACTAACAAAATGAAGTTCAACAGTGACAAATGCAAGATACTCCACTTTGGCAGAAAAAATGAAATGCAAAGATACAGAATGGGGGACGCCTGGCTCGAGAGCAGTACGTGTGAAAAAGATCTTGGAGTCCTCGTGGACAACAAGTTAAACATGAGCCAACAATGTGATGTGGGGGCAAAAAAAGCCAATGGGATTTTGGCCTGCATCAATAGGAGCATAGTGTCTAGATCTAAGGAAGTAATGCTACCCCTCTATTCTGCTTTGGTTAGACCACATCTGGAATATTGTGTCCAATTCTGGGCACCACAACTCAAGAGAGATATTGACAAGCTGGAATGTGTCCAGAGGAGGGCGACTAAAATGATCAAGGGTCTGGAGAACAAGCCCTATGAGGAGCGGCTTAGGGAACTGGGCATGTTTAGCCTGAAGAAGAGAAGGCTGAGGAGATA